ATTCCATTACTGCCTCCAGCCAACTTTCAAGCACATACATGGTCTTTCCTCATTCAAGTAAAAAGGAGTTGAGTGTCATTAACATATTGATGACATCACACTCCAAACATCTGGATAAACATCTCCAGCATTTTGAACATCAGGTTAAAAAATATAATCCTGTGAGTCCCCTAATTTAAATACAAAGAGCCCGAACAGAAGTTTCCCACTACCACTTTTTGATGGTAGTCCTCCAGGTAGGATAAAACCAAGTAATACTGTGCTTCCAATTCCATACCACTGAGTTGCTTCAGCAATATGCCACAATCAGTCATGTCAAAGGGCTCTGAGAATCAGTGCAGTAGCACAATTCATGTCTCTCTCTCTCTCCCAGTATGGTGATTGATGAGCTGGGCTCAATCCAGACCTAAAGCCAGAGTGAAATGGATATAGATAATTGGCTTCTTCCTTCTTTTTTAAAAGATAATTTTATTAAAGATTATGTTAGATAGATAAAATTAATACGGACTACACAAAAATGAAAATATAAAAATATATGAAAAAATAAGTGCAGAAGAAAAAGAGAAAAGAATAAGAAGGATACTTTCCCTTTCATCGCAGCAAGTATAGAGAACTTTAACAACTTTTCACCATCTCTTAAAATACAGCAAACCATCTCTTCATCCCATATCCCATCCTATGCTCTATAAACACTTTTTTAAAGTCTCATCCCTCTGTCCTAACCAGCAAAAGTCCATTAAGGGTTATCAGAAATGACAACATATCTATGACAAACTAAATCAAATAAACCCACTTAAAATCCTTCCTTTAACATTTATATCTCACTTTCTATCTTTATCAATCAAACCTGATTAAGAATCAAATAAAAATTACCAGAAATAACATTATTTAAAATAGAGCAAATGAACTCTCTTTCCCATATCTCATCTCTTATAGATAAACAAAACCTGTAAAGCATCGCCATCCAGTCCTAGTCAGCAAAAACCCATTAGAAATTACCAGAGATAATAGCCCCTTTATTTTAACCTTGATCAAATAAACTGCTTTTGTATTTTTTTCCCTTTCTCCCAAAAGTATTTGATCTCTTCAGATAGTGTCCTAGCATCTGCTTTCTCTTCATATTCTCTTTGTCTTTTCTCACAAAATCATTAAGAACTTTGACAAGTCTCTTTTGAAAATCCAGTATAAAAAGGTTATCCTCAACACTCTTCTGTTTTAGTATTTGTATGATTTTTTCAGATGAATTCATTTGTATAACAAGTTTTTGTATCACTTTAAAATCCATGTTCAAATCAATTTAATTCTTCTCTGATGAAACTTGTTTCCCTTCCATAACATATTCTATATCTATAATAGCAGATAACTTTGAAATTATGAGCCCTCTGTTTATAGATTTCTCTTAATGTAGCCATTGATGCATTTATTTCCTTCTAGTGCTCTCTAGTGTCCAACCGTCAAAGTCATATTAATTTCTTATCAGTTGTTTCCAAATATAAACATATCCAGTTTCCCACAGAAAGGATTCTTTCAATTAACTTCAAAGTTTTAATTTAAGTCCCTCTGAGTTCTTAATCAGTTTGAAACTTTCTAAAATCAACAGTCTAATCACCCTTTTGCTGTATATCCTGAAAGAATTTTTTTTTTTTTGACAAATCTTTAAATTCCTGGTTAAAACTTCTTTCTTAAAGGATTGAAGGAAACTCACCCAGTGAATGCAACATAACTTGCTGTTCTGAAGGTTCTCAATCTTTAAAAAGCAGTAAAAAAAAAAAAATTAAATCCAAAGTAATTAAGAGATGAGCCTCGGCTGAACCTTGAGTCCAGATAGGCTACGTTAACGGCCATAAGCTTGATGGAATCCCATGACTCCCAGCCATTCGCAACCCGATCACAAAAACATGGGTTCCTGCCACCTGCTCACAAAAAACAGCTGTCCAATATACATGTGGGTAATCCTGAGATCTCTCCTTTTGTCTAGAGAGATTTCAGTGGTCTGGATCCAGCATCCGGACACCATTTTCAGCGGGATTTGATCCCATTCATTCTGATTAGATACCCCCTCCTCAAATAATTTCATCAGGATCTGCTGGAATTGTGGCAGCTCAGCCTATTTCAGGATTAACCTTTAGAAGCCTAGGTATTGTCCAAGACAATCCCAGTGGATGATTCTTGAATATGTAATGATAGTAGAGAAGAAAGTCCTGAGTTGCTGGGAGTCAAGCAGTATTAAAATTTAATAAATAAATAAACTTTACTGTGCTAACACCATTGCCATGTAGTAGGTGTTACGCATATGGACTTGTGTTTGATCATATTTGCTGTGAAAGTTATGCCATCTTCACTCTGTCTGCTGATTTACTTCATTGACTGGAGTTGCCCAGTAAATTAAGGAGAATTACAGATTTCCCATAATTGGAGAAGGTCCTCAGAGCAACAGTGTAAATGGTCCTTCTCATCTCAGTGTTTCACAATGAGACAAATGCTGAACAAAATTACCCACCTTTCATATATTATTTAGGAATCCTTTAGATTCCAGTTGTTTCTGATTCTTAGCAAACCATCTAAATTGGTCACGACAACCTTATTGCAGAGGAAGTTAACTCTAGCCAGCTCAATCTCATCAAAAAGTGAACTGTCAGTGAGATAAGTTGAACTCCCCCCCCCTCACCAGCCAATCTTACCCCCCAAACAGATAAAGAATATGTCTTGCAATATGTATTGGGCCTATGATGTTCTGAGACAGCTCCATGGTTCCTATTGTGGCTATTAAGTCTTACAGGACTGTTTTGGCATGGTTATTGAAATATTCCAGAACATCAACAAAGCCTTTTCTTACTCTGTGACCCAATAAAAGGGACAAGCCCTCAGCTCCCAGACAGATCAGTTTTCTGATGAGATGATTGTAACTTTTCCCCATCCCTCATCCCTATGGCTTATGTTGATGCTGTACCAAGTATCTGCCCAAGCAGAACTAAATAAGATATGTGCCCATCCCCTCAGCTCACAAGACAAGTTTAAATAATGCAAAATAAACCAACCCTTTCATCATGAGTATTGTCTTACTCCAGTCTGACTTGACATTGACTAAGAGCACCACACAATGGGAGGGCAGGTCAGTATGGTAACCCAAGATTTCTGATAAGAGAGCAAGGCAGAGCAAGGAACATCCACCAGCCACCCCATATGTACCTGATAGCCTGTGTTGGAGGGTAGGAAGGGCACAGGAATTAATGCAGACACACACAGTGTTCTAACAAAGTGATTTTTATTGTTATAGTGCAGATAAATTGTGTGCATATTTCTGTATGCAGTGATCTTAGCTTAGCATACTTAAAGTTCCTTATTCATATAGCTAGTAAAATTAGTTATGGCTTTTTAAACTCTGTTAGACAGCTTAGTAGTGCTTTCCCTTCTTGCTCTTGGCCTAGAGAAGAGAAGGGAAGAGGGAAAAAGAGCTTTTCCTGAGCCTCTTGGAAAGCCAGCACTTTGGTCACACTTCTCCAGGCAGCTTTCCAGTGCAGCTCCATTCCTTGCACCAGCCAGTCTGCTCTGCAAATCTCACTTTCTAACTCTGCTTTCTCCTGCTGGGTCTTCAGATGCACACTCCTCCTTCCTTCGGGGATCCTCCCTCCAACCACGTTGCCTACTCTCCTCCAGCAGCTTCAGTCCTTGCTCTTTGATACATCATACAGCACTTCCAATCCACACAAAGACACATGGCACTAACAGACAAATCCCCCTTTTTCTGACAACCCTGCCCCTTCTTGAACTAGAAGACAGATGTGCTTGCTCACAGGTGTCTTAATTAATCAAAGAACCTTCTAGCTATCTGCATGACACCTGGCAAGCAGGCAAAACTCTAACCTTGAAGCAAATTACAACCCTGTCTCAGTGATGATAGTGCCCTGTCACAGCCTGACCTCTATCCCTCCTTCCCCCTACCCGCTTCATAGCATTGTTAATGACATTGTCCCTGGACTCTCCCATTTGTCCACTTTCAGGAAGCTGTATATTTTTCCCAATATCAGGTAATTTGCATAAATGATCAGCATAGTTAATCTAAACTTTAAAATTTACCGGGAACATCCTCACCAGGCATCAAAGTAGAAAACTGATGTAATCAGGATACTAACAATAATACACCCTTCCTACTCTCACTAGAAACTCACTTTCACATTTCCCCTCCCTGTGATACTTCCTGCAGGACTTCCTGTGTATTTAATAATATTTTGGTTCATTACATACTTGAATCTTGATGTACAGATAGAGGTTCTAAATAACCAATAGCCATTCTTTTGTCCTCTGTCAAGTTTCTGAGACAATGTGCCTAGATCTTTGGGAAGTTAAAGTGAATAGAGACTGTAAGGCAGACAAAATCGTATTTTAGGACCATGTTTAGGTGATCTTAGGATGGATTTGCTAAAACTGGAGAAACTATTGATCTATGTGATTCAGTTTAGACAGTTGTAGTGCATATCAAGACAAGTAAAGATTTCTCAAAAGATCCCAGGGACATCATCGAGGGCCACACAATGAAAAGTTGTAAAATAAGTAGTCACGGAAGAATAGATTTGCTTCATACAATTTATGTTATGATTTATGTAATGGTCTCCCTTCAGCAGTCTTGGAGAGCAGATTCAGCAAAATTCTATTAAACGTTATGCCCATGTGATTCAGGTGAAATTAAATCTATAGAACATGTCTTTCTATGCTACTTCAGCTGCTTTTTAAAAAATTGCCTGGATGAACTAAGACAATTTACGTAAGTTATTTTACAGCAGACAGAGATTCCAAAGTTACCTTCTAGTTGTCAATTTTTGCTTCTTAGCAACAAGAGTATGCTGTCAGAAGATCAACACTGTTGTACCAGATGACTATCTCAATATATTTGGGTGGTATTAAGATGGTAAAATGTTTCTCTTTGTAAATTGTATAAGTTTGGTCAATGACCATACTAAAGTTGTTATGATGTTAATTTACTGTAATATTTTGCTCTGCAGGGAACAGGAGCTGGATGCTAAGTTTATTATTTCAATGGAGAAAAATCAAACAACAATTACAAACATAAAGGTGAGCATATTCAGCCACTATGGAAATATTTTTATTTTAGTTTATTCTTCTGATTAATCTCAACAAACTATAGCAGGCAAATCAGCATCAGAATTTAAAACCAGAGGATCAGGATGAGTATCATAAAACAAATGTTGAATTAGAAAAAGATTTGAAGAATTTAATAGTACCTGATATAAAGAACTGGTGATTTTTTTTACATTAATAGTCACATTTTCTTTCTTGTCTTTGATGTCTGGAAGGCATAAAGCATAGTATCATGATACCATAGTATCAAACAAATAAGTAGGCATGAGTCTTTTCATTTTGGGGGGAGGTTCCTTTGTTCTAGCTGTGGTTAGTCTATCCAGAGATTTTAACACATTATATGTTTTATATTATTTTATACCAATACCTCATGGGAAACTAGGTAATCTGTGTTGATGGCCACAAATTAAGAGTGTTTGAGTACTCCATGTAGATTGTGTCTTGCCCACCTCCCCCAATTCAATTAGAAACTGATGTAGTATATTTAACTTGCATTTAGTAAGTAACTAAAATATATGGCATGTTAATTTTACATGCTTCGTAATTATCTCACATTTCTCCCAGTAATCAGAAGGCATTCTAATTGAAATAATTAGGAATTAAATTCTCCTTTTTGTTTTCTTTTCTCTTTTAATCCTGTTAATTCTGTAACCTTGATATACAGTAAAAGGCTGGAATATGTATTGAATCAGCCCACTCATTTTGAAAGAAATGTAACTTGATCACACTCTTCCTCTGAGTTTGGGTGAGTTCTTGAGAATGATAGAGGATGTTTACCACTCTATCCTCATGAATAAACCAGTGCAGAGAGGGACTTTCTCTGGAATAAAATTAATGGTAGCAGTATATTAATAATGTAGAAATGTATAGATGGAGGATATAGAGATCATCTTTTTGAAAATTGCTTTTCTTGAAGTGTTTTTAAATATTTAGGAAACAGTTACTCATTAGCATATTCACCTCACATTCTTAAGAATATGGAGAAGATACTGTAAACAAGCTGTGTGTTTGGTTTTTTTATAAATGTAGAATGCTTTCTAGGTTCAAGCAAGCAAAAAAACAGTTAATTACAATATTGATATTGAAATTGTCCAATTTGACTAGATGGTATGCACTCATAATTAATTAATTCTATGCAACAAGGTCAGTGTTCTACCTATTATAAGGTTCTAAACTAACTTTATGTTTTTCCCTGTTTGATAACATTTGATAACGTTATCAGCTTTACTGCAAAATAGAGTACAGGTCAGATAATCAGGTTTGGAATCACTGGATCTTATTCAAAAATGCTATGCCAATAAAATAATATAAACATTAAGCCCTAATATAATAAAATTTAAATGGTGACATAAATAGAAATGTTTAATCTTAACTCAGTTCTTGACTGTTCAAATACTGATGTGACCTTTATATTTTATGCTGAAACACCAGTTTGTTGAACTAATCTAGATAAGTTTAAGATACTGTCAGTAATAATTTTGTGTCCTCAAGAGAAATGGTTGGAAATGCAGTTATTATCTTAATATAGAATACAGTGATAATTTGTTTGTTCATCCTCTTATTTAGATACCAGAGGGAGGAACTGGGGACTTGGGAAGAGAACGAACAAAAACATTTACCTATGATTTCTCCTACTTCTCAGCTGATCCTGAAAGTCCAATCTATGCATCTCAGGAAATGGTAGGCTGATGACATTAATGATTCTCAGAGTGAAAACATAATGCCAAAGTTTACCATCTGAATGTTTGAGAGATGATTTTAAAACACGTCAACTGCTTATTATGAAATAAATTACTTACATATGTTGGCCATGCACATACATTCCCATTCCTATGCACACATACACAATATTTTCCACTGTGATCTTCTGATCTATTTGGCAAGCAATATGAAATCATGCAAACCTGTAATTCTATCACAAAATGTCTATTAACTCCTTTGGAGACTGTTTGGAGCTTAGAAACTGTTGTGCTTTTTGAAATTCTAATGTACTGTATTGGATTTTTCTTTTCCCTGTGTATCTAAAGAAATATAAATCATGCTTACCATTTTTGAACAGATAATTCAGTTTTATCAATAATTAACCTGGGAATGAGTCCAAAAGGATAAGTTGTTACTTCCACATTAATGACCTTAAGTTTAAGCTGTATAATATTCATGTAGGCTTGTTGGGTGATAAGTTGTGAATGTTAGACATATTCCTTGCAATATTTTCATGTCCCTATGATGATTCAAAAAACAAATATTTCTTAAAGAGGGCTGTCTAGTAAAAGGAAAGAAAAAGAAATAAGGGACCTGCCCTTACTCTTAAGAAGAGCATCCAAGTTTTTTATGTAATACCGTACATTACTTAGTGTGCACTTATAAGGGCTTTGGCGGAAGATAGGAATTATATTTCTTAATAAATATTTGAATTGACCATCTCTAGCAAATGTTTGCTATGGTAATAGTTCTTATAGTATAGTGTACTAAAGTGGCTGTAATAATTTACATAAAAGAATTAAGAGCTATGTTTTAAATTATATTTTGAAACCTTATTTTACTTTCTGTCATTCTTGTATCCCCAGGTATTTAACAACCTTGGTATTGATGTCCTCCAATCTGCTTTTGAAGGTTATAATGCCTGTATTTTTGCCTATGGACAAACTGGATCTGGGAAGTCTTATACAATGATGGGAAATGCTGTATGTTATGCTTTTCAGAATTTACTTCTTACAAGTTGATACCTTTTGTACTATATTTTTTCTTCCAATCTGTTTTCCTTAGCAAGCAAATAATTTTAAGAAAAGCTTTACACATGGAAAGTTCTAAAAACATTTGGCACAGATAAAAGCAAGAATTAAAAAGCCAATTTCATTGTTCACCCCACACCTTCTGATAGAGAGGGTACACTCCAGGTGACTTCACTGAAACAAGCCATCTGGTGGGACCCAGGAGGTGCACCTTCTTGGTGGTGATCCTTATCTTATACAATAACCTTCGTCCCAAGATATGGTTGGCCCCGATCCTGATGGCATTTAGAAAGGCTGTCAGAACTTTTGACATATGATGTCTTGGAGCCCCAATTGGATGACAGTGTTATTCCCATTTGGATTGCCATTTCATTGTTACATTGTTGTGTATTGGTTTACATAATGTGATTTTCTATTCTTTCTGTTAGGTTCTTTGGAGTTTTCTGTATGCTCCCCAGAGTCATTTTGGTTGAGCTGGGCAGTCATACAAATATTTTAAATAAATAAACTTATTTACATTTCTTTAAGTATAACTTGACATGCTGAAGAGCTACTTGGAGATAGAGGCTTCCCCAGACTGTGTACCTGGGGAACAAATCTGAGGTCCACAAGGGGGTTGCAGGGACATCCCATGTATTATGATGTCATCAAGGAAGTGACACAAAGTATGTAATTTGCATCATTTGTGTTATAATGTCACAATCACACAACATCCTTTTGACATCATTGTGGCTTATAACAGAGTCTATGAGAACAAGTCACGTTGACTTCACCAAACAGTAGCATAAATCCTAATCTAAAAATCAGAAGCAGTTACATGTGAAATAGTCCGAATGGACAAATGGCATTTCATTGTCTACTTTATTTTTTAAAATATTTCTGTCTGATGTATAATATATATTTCTCAAACTCTTAAGGTTCTGTTGGGAAGTGTTGAGCTTCAGGGTTTCATGACTGTAGTCTAGACAGCAGATTTCCGGATGTTACACCAGCAACTGTGGCTGGCATCCTCAGGAACAAGGTGGTCTGCTACACAAACCTCAGGCAACTGAGCAGGGATTGACTGGGTTCCTGTCTTTACAGCCAGGTGACTTGACTTCTGATTGGTCTTTAGCTGAGCTGATGTGGAGTGCCTGGACAAAGACCCATTGAGGACTCAGCTGCTCAGATGACCAACTAGAACCCAGCACAAACAAAGAACCAATCAGGAATAATCACTCTAAAATGACCAGTCAGAAACCAGCATGAGCAAAGGACCAATCACGAACCATTACCAGCAAAGCAACCAATCAGGATCAAGTGCAAAGTACCAATCAGAGACCAGCCCTCGCCAACGTGCACCAATAGAAAACCTGCCTAGTTGCCTGTGATCTGCATAGCAGACCACCTTGCCTCTGAAGATGCCAGCCACAGTTGCTGGCGAAATGTCAGGAAATCTGCTGTCCAGACCATAGTCACTAAACCCTGAAGCTCAACACTGTCCAACAGATACTGGCCATGAAAACCTACACCAGTATCTTAAGGTTCTCTTTTATAAAAGGAAGGTGGGAAGGTGATATTTGCCAATTCTTTTGCTCAACCTCCTTTAATATAAAAAAAATTCTCCCTACTACCCAAAGCACATTTTTAAGAGATGTAAATGATTGCAAATTGAAAGGACTGTTGAAACCCAAAAGTTCCCTATTTTTTTGAATGGAACTCTTTCTTTGGCTTTGAATATTTTCTGTATCAGTGACTTTTCACGTTGTAGTATATCAATAAGTATTATTTTTGTAGGGAGATACTGGTTTAATACCTCGGATTTGTGAAGGATTATTCAACCGAATAAATGAGAAAACACGGTGGAACGAAGCCTCCTTTCGAACAGAGGTCAGGTATGTTTGCATAGAGACAACATGGCTATATACAGTCAGAGTAGTCTGTCTGACTTTGCCATCATCATCATCTCTTTCTCCTCCTCCTCCTTTTTGCTGCATTTTTCTGTCTTCATTAGAAAATTAGTTCACATAGCATATTTATTCAGGGTGAGGAAAGAATTTTCAACAGTCAGGAAGTTGTGCAAGAACAGATTAAACAAAGGTTTCTGAATGGAATTGTCTTTTAACCAAGTTACCATTCTATAGCCTTGTTTAAAAATGAAACAGACACCCCCCTCCACAAACTCTGTTCTGTTTAGAATTCAAAAATTGTCTGATTGTTTTGCTCCATTCTACTGCAATCCTGTTCACTCTTCTTAAATACTGTCCATGAGAACTGATCAACACATTAACACGTTCTTTGCTATTTTCCCTAGTATATAAAAATGCTATCTACCTAGAAGGCCTGATCATTATTTCTGACCTCTTCGAAGCAGTTGGAAGCATATTAGAGACTCTCCTGATGACTGGGCATTTTGAAAAACCTGCTCCAGAGGCTTGAAGGTTTCTCTGGAACATTATGACAGATGACATACAGGCTACATGGGGAAGGGAAATGGGCAAAATCAGCCCAGCCTATTTCCTTAGAGAGCTCCAGCTAAACTATCAATCTTGATTCAGTGGAATAGATGGAATTTTAAACTTGAATAATGTTTTGATTTATAGTACATTTATTTCATATTTCAGTTACCTAGAAATTTACAATGAGCGGGTCAGGGATTTACTGAGGCGCAAGTCTTCAAAAACAAATAACTTAAGAATTCGTGAGCATCCAAAAGAGGGACCTTATGTTGAAGGTGGGTTTTTAACAATTTAATATGCTTCCTTTTATTGGATACCTGGCTGTATGTATGTATGTATGCATGCAGAAATTTGTCTTGATTATAAACTGAAGAATATGTAAATAAAATTATAAACCTCTATGAATCATATTTCAGTCTATTAATTTCTATATAGTTTCACCCTAATCACTTTGTGAATTTCAAAGGTTTTTTTGGTGGGGGGGAGTTGATATTCTGCTAACTGATTGGAGACTACTGATGAATCTGCCATATAAATTAGGCACTTGTGATAGAAGAGCACTTATTAGAATTTAATTGGCTTAATACATCCTTTTCCAATTTATGTCATGGTGCCTTAAGAATACAAAATGTTTAGGAAGACTGCAGATTTCTGTTCAGGTTGATGATCCCTACGTTTAATATCCACAGCAATCTTTCTTCTGCTAAAAGAAGTATGTCCATCCATATAATTTCTGTGTAGTTTCTGTAACTATTGTGCAGTAGTACCTAATTAGTAGTACTGACAGGAAGAGAATACTGAATTTAAGATGACCCACCCAAAGGAGTAGGCTTTCTTCCAGCAAAAAAGAAGAAAAAGGAAGATGAAGATGAAGCAAGACAGGAAAGAGCTACACTGGGAAAGAAAGCAAAAAGTAGGGTACCAGAGATATAGAAAACTCTGACTTTTTGTTACCATCTAATGGTCATCTGGATGTTTGCAGCCCAGATCTGGTAGCTGTAGGAAAGAAAAAGGGAAAACAAGGAAACAAAACAAGGAAGAGGTAGTTAAAGGTAATGAAAGAAGGAGGGAAGCCCTGTATAGATGTTACAAAAAGAATAATAATTGACCAGGCAAACAGCCCAGCCTTTCCCTTATCTTCAGAAGCACCCCTGTTTTCCAATAATGATGTCAGCAGTTAGTTGCACCTCCCATGAGCATTTTCAGTACTCAGGAAATGTAAGATGGCACCCACTATCCCATTTCCTGGGTTAATATTTGGGAAGAATCGTCATCTTCCTAAATAAGGTATTTCTTCTGTTAAAAACATCCCAAGGCATCTTACAAAAAACCCTGAAAACCTAAGTACACCAACAAAATAAGCAGGTAATTAATTATTGGGCGGGGGAACCCTTCTTTTCCCATTTTTTTCCCAAACACATTTTTAAATGTTATTCAGATAGACAATCATTATGGTACCTGTCAGTCTTGATTAATTTTCTCAACTATACTTAGTTAAGTTTAAAGAAAAAAGTTACAGATAAATTGCAGCGGCAGCATCTTAAAGTAGATGTTTCTTGTGCAGGTTTGTCTTCTAAAACTATATTTACCATCTGCAGTAATTATAAGAATATTGTTAATAGCTTTTAAAATGGTGTATTATTAATTGGAGATCTGCTTGTGTTAATTGATTAATACTGCAAATGTCCTACTTATATTTGTGATTTTTTTTTTTCAGATCTGTCAAAACACTTAGTACAAAATTATAGCGATGTGGAGGAACTTATGGAAGGAGGAAACATAAATCGAACCACTGCTGCAACTGGAATGAATGACGTTAGCAGCAGATCCCATGCCATTTTCACAATCAATTTCACTCAGGTAAAAAAACAAAAAACAAAAAAAAACTTGGTGAAATTTCTTACATTGAATTATTGAGTTGCAACTCAAGTTCAGTTCTCATTTAATTTGAAAAAAACCCCACAAAATATATATTTGCCTGTCTAATAAATTAAATGGCAGTCATCCTTCCCTGATTTGGTAGATATATGTAAACCTTCCATGATATATACAATCTTTGAATGGGATAATTTCTTTTAGTTTTACTTTTAACACCACATTTGATAGGAATGTGGAAGTGGAAGAATGATAGCACTTCCTTCATGTTTTTCCCTAAGTTTAAATCTGCCTGTCTGTCTGCTTAATGCTACTGTTAATTACATATGTTTTTTAAATTATTGGACTAATATTAGAAATAGGTAATGAGAGCTAGTATGATACAGTGGCTAAGGGGCTGTATTAGC